AGGTCTGGTCCGGCTGACCAAGAGTTGGTCAGCCGCTGACCAGATTCTGGGACAGGCGGACCGAGACTGAGGCCAGGCGGACCGAAAGACCGAGAAGGGTCTTGGTCCGGAGCTGACCACACTTGGTCAGCCGGACCAAGCCTTCAGGTCAGCCGGTCCGCGTGCTTCGGACTAAGCCTGGTCCGCCGGACCAAGCTCCTGGTCCGGCGGACCGGGATCTGAAAATTTCCATAATTCGAATTTTAGGGTTTTCCAATCTTATTTAAGTTTAGGGTTTCGTCCAAACTTAATAAGAGCCGACCTAAAACTCAGAGAAACACCCTAGAACTCTAGAGAAGCTGTTCTCTTGGATTTCGATTGTCCCGGGATTGGATCTCGTCTCTTGAGTTACCCTTTTCTTCACTAATCCTAGCAGATTCGTTCCAAATCGTTTGGAATCCTTCCCGTCGGTGTGGATACGTGTAGAGGAGCTGTACTTTCAGCTCTTGGTGATTTAGAACAGGCCCCGGATCGAAACAAACTTCAAGTCTCATCGAGAACGAGGTAAGTAACGATTCCCTCGGTGATATACAAGATCTTTCGGGTTCTGCGAGCTTGGTTGCGTGTGACGTTTGACTAGGAACCCGTAGATTACCCAACACCGAGCTGCACAGAGAGCCAGCTCATTAGCATAACGGTTGGCATATGTTTCAAGAATGATATGGTACTATTTTCACATGGTCACATGGTACTATGTTTACATGGTCACATGGTACTATAATAACATGGTCACATGAGACTATGTTCACATGGTCACATGGTACCATGGCCGCATGGTCACATGGTCACATGATTCATAATAGTAGGATTGGTAATAATGGTTACAGGGTGAGGAATTCACATGATCACAATGTCACATGGTCACATGGTCCAGAATAGCCAGAATGGTAATAATGGTCATATGGTCACATGGTCACATGGTATTATATTCATATGGTCACATGGTCACATAGTCCAGAATAGTTGAATTGATATGTATTTTGTATTTGTGCTTTCTACAGCTACGATGGACGGGCAAGATGAGAGATCGACAATTGTATACTTTATGTATGATGGTAAGTGGATATTGAATAAAAATGGAGAATATGAATGGGAAGAAAAGTTCATGAAAAATCAAAGATTGTTGTTCTTTTGCCCCCCCTGTGAGGTAACCTACAGTGACCTTGTTCGAGAGTTATGTGCTGAGATGAAGGTGGAGAAAGATAAAACGGAGATCAGGTTAAGTTATTTGCCAAATGTCAAGGAGAACAGAAAGCCGACTTATGTATGGAATGACAAACACGTTCATATTTATTTGTTGGATAAAATAAATGGATTGCGAGGTATGCTTTATGCGGAGATA